CCAGCCTGCACTAGGAGAAACCCGTGCAGTGATGATTCAGACTCAAATGATTACTTGTCCCAAAGGAAGGCTTGATGATACACTGAGGCTGGGACACACCAGCAGTGATTATAAGATGATTCACTGCCTGTGCTCTGCCATTCAAAACATCCTCTGTATTGCACAGGCAGGACCATTCATGGAGGCTGCAATGAGGAAGTGATATTTGCACCTTTAGCTGCCACCTTCTCATGGAACCTTTCAGTCGCTGCCTCTGGCGTGGTGTTTGTCTCCCTCTGGTCATGCTAATGCTAGAGAGGTTTGGTGTCAGGGGCAGCTCCCTGACACTGCCATGTGACTACAGCCAAGCACCTTCTGCTGATAATGTCCATCCTCACTCTAAGAGGGTTTGGCCAAAAGCGTAGTGTGCCCAGGCATGCCAGTGTCCCCCCCCAGTGCCATCTTGTGCAGTGTGGGAGCACATCATTGGACTTTAATATTAAACTGAGGGGCAGGTGGGAACTCAAAGTCCTTAATTTCTCTGTGCTCCAGACCGTAATTTGCACATCATTTTTCAGAACTCCCATCAATTCTTTGCACTGCTGTTCCCACTTCCATTTTTCCTGCTGTCAGAAACATGGAGCTCAGACTGCTTCTGTGTTTCTTTTATAGAGGGACACATCGTCTGATGTCTCTTTCTGTTTCTCATGCTGCTGTGTATACTTTCCTGCTTCCCATTCCACCCACCTTTTTATCCTTCACTCTTCTCCTCTCCTTTGGATTTTCTCTTGCCAGATACGTGCACTAATATGTTTTCACCAAAATGGCCTGAGTGCACTGGCTACATCTATCTTGTCCTGCTAAATGCTTCCCAAAGCGCTGATATTACTGCATTCAGAGCAGGGAAGTCCTCAGCACCTGGGAAATACCATTTCTCCTGACCCAGGAACTGATACTGCTTGTGGCAGTTTGCTGGAGGCACTGGTAACATCTGAGGCACGGAAAGTTTGCTCATGTTGGCTAGGACTCACAAACGTGTTGAGGCTAATAATGCACATGGTTTGTATTGTGCTTTCCCTGAAGCTAAGTTGAGTAACATGTTAGTTAGCAAGTTAGGCATTACTCAGAGCTCCTAAACCTCGTGTTTTGCCAGTGACGAAGGTGCAAACTTGTAGTCCAATGCTCCTGATATTTTCTGCATAGTGTAATGGCCAAGCTCCAGCGGACTTGTGATCCATCCTCTTCATCTTACAGTTCTGCCTGGACTTTTTTCAAATTTAAGGCTACAGCTGTCATGCACTCTTGCCAGCTATCCTATATGTCTAAATAACTAGGTGAACTATCTCTGGAAAATAATCTATCTGGTAAATTTAGCCCTTTCTTCCTGTGAGTGAACTGTCTTCAATCTGTCTTTCATATGTATTTTACGTGCAGTAGTATTATTTGTGCTTTGTCTTAGCATGTGCTAGCTATGGGTTCTCTGTGTGCTCTTGGATATAACTGTGGTTTTAAGTACCCACTGCTGGTTATTCATAGCGCACATTTAGTCATTTAACAAACATGGTGTTAGTTCTGCTCTCTAAGTGGATGACTAATACTCTTATAAATAGGAGGAATGTGATCTGAAAGGTCACGTGATTGTTCCCAGTGTGAACATATCCCCAAACTATGAGACTTCTCATTCCAGGAGCACGCTTGCAAAAAAGAAAATGCTCATTATTAGAAAGAAGAAAAAGGGTTCAAAATCCATTCAAGCGATTTCTCTGCTTAAACAATTTGCAATTGTTTGTTGAGTTTTGCATTGCAAGAGGTTTTTGCAATGTTTGTTTTTCTCTGAAATCTCTCCTGACCTGCTTGGGAACATAGGAATTGCCCTGTTGGAACAGTCCTGATCTCTCTCCTGTGCCAGTGCCCTCCTTTGGAACATAACAGGACCTGAATGTTTCTTAAGTAGATATAAGAAATATCCTTTAACTTTCTTCCTAACCTCTTTCACATCTCACTGGAAAGCAAGACAATGCTGAACTGGATTCCAAAGGAGATGAGAAGAGCGCATGGTACAGGTTTCTGCACTGCCTGTAAACCGAAGGCTTTCCTCAGCTCAGTACTGTGGAGAGAAGATGCTGTGCTGCCCAGGTGGTGGAGAAGGAATGTGGGGTGCTGCCTCTGAGGTGGGGTGCTTACTAATGCAGTCTCCTGAGAGGCTGGGTTTCTCTGTGGGAGAAACCAAATATCAAATGAACCAAATTATCAAATGAAAACAAAATAACTGAATGCCACTGCTCTCCTGCCATTGCAAGGTTTGGTTTATATTCACTGCAATACACGGCTAAGGAAGGGAGGATCAGTGGCCTCAGGACATCCAGCTTAATTTCATGACTGTGCCACAGACACAGGGGTTGGGCTGCTGCTGCTGCCGCTGTGATGCCAGCCCAGTGAGGCACCTCTTCTGCTTGCTGCAATGTGAGGTCAAAATGAAGGTCTTGCAGTGGAGAAACAGGCAACCACAGAACTATTTTCCCCCCTGTCTACAACTCAGGTTCTCCCAGGTGCTCACCTGGTGGTGTTTGGGCTTGTGGATCAAAGCAGGATAAGATATTCCTGGGAGCAGGTTCAGCTCCCAGCTGGGAGCTGGTGCTGGCTGCATCAACACTTTGCCTTTCAGCTTCTTCAGTGTCAGATGTGATGGCTTAAGCCACCTGTAGCCAAAGTTACTTTGTACAGGAACAAAGTGGAGGAGAGGACTTGCACAGCTGGCTCAGAGGTGGCTCACTGGCCAAAGCCTGAGGCACAAGCCTGTGTGGCATGTCGCTGTGTCTGTGCTAGTAAAACAGGCAAGGGCAGGAGCTGTGCTCTGCTTTGTGACTGAGTAACACTGTCTGGCCATGGTGTGACTGATAAACCCTCCAAAACCATGTGGCTACATATAGACTACCTATTGGGAACAGTCCTGGCCCATGCTAACTCCTGGACTGTGCTTGGGAACGGTTTGGGAGAGCATGGATTGTCATGGACCAGAATTATACCTGGGACTGCTGGAGGGTTGGAGGTTGAGCTCCCCTACTCCTGCCCTGATTCACTGGCTTGATTTCTGCTCTAGATGCTGCCAGTGTGGCTGGTGTCAGGCAAGTCACCTAATGCATGATACAGGAAAGAGAAGACTATTCCAGTTTCATTTCTGGCCTTCATCCCTTCGTGCCCTCTCTCATGTGGGGGTTAGAGTGCATCCTTACGTACAGAGCAGTGAGACTGCCAGAATTGGGTACACTGGGAAAGTGAGGTGTGGTAGATGTGAAAGTCCAAATTCACTGCAGGGATTTATAGAAATTTGATTCAGTGAAGAGTTGAGCCATAAGGATGGTATTCCCAGTTCATAGACCTATTGTAATTTTGTCCATGCTTATAATACAGTTAGAGAAATAGATTAGCATTAAAATACGTGGACTAAAAGCAGTCATTTGTGTCCTATATTCTCCTCCTGCCAGCCTTTGACTTGACTTGAGATTGCTGATTAGAAAGGACAGCTGAGGATCTGGGGCCCCCCAAGCAGTCTATACACAGTCAAGAAGTCCCAGAGATTTGATAGATTGTACATGATGTTTCTTTCTGAGCACACGACATGTTTCCTAACTTCAGCAGTCTCAGAGGTTTGATTTCGGTGGAAGATAGTATATATAAATGATACTTGATTGAGAAGTGCATATGCAGGGCTTATGAAACAGTGTGCCTGTCTGCATGTGCGTGCATTTAAATAACAGGGCAAAGGTGACTGTAATATATTATTTACCTAGTGGCTCAGATTTATCTGCCTGCCTTAGGGCTTCCTGGCTCTTGTCTCTCAGATTTCGTTCCTAAAGAAAATTTTGCTGTGAGGAACTGTGTTTGAGGGTGCTTTCCTACGGCTAGCATTGAGGGGCTAAGTGGTACATTTAAACTGAAATCAAATGTTCCACCCAGGTTATTTTGGATGTGCCAACCTTTGCTTGCTTGTGGGTGCGTCTGGATTTCTTCTCTCCCTTGGTCAGTAGCAGAAGCATTTTTCTTCTTGATGGCAAGTAGGTGGTAGTGGTGGGGGCAGGTCTTGTTTGTGGCTACTGGCCAGCTAAAAATGGACAGTGATAAAAACAGAAAAAGATGGGAAGAAAGGAATGATTAGTGTAATTACACCTGATAAGGATCAGCGTGATGTTACATGTGCTATATATGTATATGAAGCCTACACACACAAACACATAAAAGAAAACACTCAAGAATCAGGTTCTTCCACAGAGCAGCCGCAATTACATAAAGAAACAAAAAAGGATTTTTTTATACTGCGGTGCTGGCAGTCAGAGCCTCCCCTCTTACTGCGCCTGGGAGAAGAGTGTGTTAAGTGTGAGCAGAATAAATGATCCGTTTGTAACCAGCATGGCAGACACCTGTGTAGCACCTCGCTGCAGCACCTTCCTATGCCGGCTGGGTGTCAGGGGTAGGCATCATGACTAGTCAAAAGCAAACCTAGTTACAGTACATCTTGAGCAGGATCCTCAGAGGTGACTGTTGGAAAAGTGCACCTACATGTTCCAGATAGATCTTTTTTCAACACTGTTCAAATCTTGCTCTCTACACTTGGACAAACGCAGACATGGTTTTGCCTGCTGCGGGCAGTTGCACTTCTGAACAGGAGCCATTTTGCAAAGGAGGAAGGAGCAGCACCTACCCTACTCCCAAGCTGCTGTCTCTCTCCTGGGTTTTGAGAAAACCAGAAAGCAACCCCCCCAAAGCTTTCACCTTTTTCACAGTGACACAACAAAACAGGATTTCCTTCGAAGCAGTAACAGGACAGGCTTTACAGTATTCCTGCAAGGGTGAATTCAGATGCCAGAGGTGGAATTTCCAAATCCATCTCCCTTCCTACACCTTTTCTTTTTCATCTCCATAAATCTGTGTCAGTTTTTAAAGAACCTATTTGGGGGGAGGGAAAGGGGACAGAATGAGTGCTGAGCTATTCAGAGCTAAAAGAAGAGATTTGTGCTGCCAGAGGTAAGACTGCTGAAAAATGTGTCAGTGTAGCAGATGATAGTTCTCCTTTCTTAATGCCTCTCCTGAAGCATCAAGGTGTACGTGTTTCTCAAAGGGGCTGTACATCTCAGAGGTAGTCTATGAACTGCACGTTGAAATGGTTGCCATGGCAGTGACTGAGTATAAGTTAGAAAGCGTGATTAGCCAGAGTTGGCCTAAATAGCTGAAGGGAAGGGGAAAAAAAAAAAAAAGAAAGGAAAAAAAAGGCCAAGGACTTTCTGTTATTTCTAATACAGATCCATCAGCATTAGACGGTGCCAGGAAGAGGCAGCGGCACTGATGAAGAGGAGCTTGCAGGAGTGTGCTCCACACCCCAGCCCCAGCTGGGGTACCACCAGCAGCACCTGCTGCAAGGGGACCTTCGCCCCCTTACAACATGCCAGCGCAGCAGCTGCACACTGGGGAGGGGCCGTTAGTACAGCCCAGTCCTATTAGTGTTGATCTTGTGAAATGGTACTTCTCCAGAGTCAGAGGCCAGACTAGGGCACTGCTCAGCCTTCAGCAACCCTGAGAGCCTGGTCACAGCACTCTCCTGGCTGATGTGGGGCATAGTCACATTAGAAAGTGCGAGACTGGCCTGCAGAGAGGCTGCAAGGCTTGCCACAAGTGACACAGAGGGCTGCTACCCTGGGTGGGGTGTTAATTGATGAACTCCCTGTGCCTAGAGCCATTCCATTTCTTCTAGTCCCCTTGAAGCATGCCTCTGAAAGGTATCCCATCTTCATTTGGAGCCTGAGAATTAGAGAATGAAGCCCTTTTTGTTAATTCATTGCAATGGTTAATCACGCTTGCTTGTTAAAAAAAAATAATTGCACCTTATATCTAATTTAAATGTGTATGGTATTAGTGTTCAGCCTCTGGTGTGTGCTCTATTCTTCTCTGATATATTTAAAGAAAAAATAATCACTTCTTGAGATCCTGTGGGTTTTTTCTGTGAAGGTTTCTTATGCGCTGGAGTTACTTTTGAGCTTGTTTTTGAAGAAGTGAAGCAGCAGAATTCTTTCTCTCAAAGGGTTTTCTTACAGCTTTTCTCAGGGAAAAGTGGGAGACTAAGGTGAACACATCTCAATACCAGGTCTGAATGGAAAAACAACCTCTCTAGGAGCTGTAGAGCCACATTAAGGGGCCAGATGCCCAATGTAAAATCAGCAGAAGAGATTTATGCAAGCTGAGAGTATGCAGGTAGGTATTTGCAGGAGGAGAACCTGTTAGCCTGATTCTCTTCTCTCATAGATTTCTCAAATAGAGAAGTTCAATTTACATTAGCCTGGAGTGCTTCTGCTTCTTAGTCCTTTGAGTGAGATATGAATCTACTCAGGCCAATCCATAACACTTGACCACTTACCAAGGATATTTTTCTACCTTCCTGTCCTAAGGGACCTTTAGGTTCCTCCTTCAAGGGGAGTGCAAACCAGCAGTACTTATGGTGGTGGTTAATGGGCATCTGTTTTGGCTGGCAGAGCTGGAGTGAGTGAGATCATATGACCTGCACTTAAGAGGAAGAAAAGAAATGCCCGCAAGACACCTATTTGCCCTGCATATCAGGTTGGCTTTTGCTGTTATTTGCAGGAGTCTCTTCCACTTCTTGCACCTCCTAAATCCTTGTCATGAAGGTTTGAGAGCTGGGACTATCTTCTTTGGCACCAAGTCAATGATACATTTTTCAGCACCAGCAGCCATTCATATTTTACATTAGTGTTCCTCTCTGTTCCTTTCAAGCAATAATCGTAAATATCATATTTCATTCCTAGAGCGCCTTTCATCCCAGGGGCTCCCAAAGCACTTTCCAAGCTTAACAAGCTTATGGTAGAGTACTCCTTTAGAAAGGGTGAAAACTTGCTTCCCATTAAAGCCTGATTTTGCGAAGAAAACCCCCGAATTATAATGTCTTCAATGCACGAGGGAGCCTTTGCAGCTGTTATTTACTGTACATGTTCCCTTACCAAAAAAAGATTGCTTCTTTGCTCCTCCATCCCCCCCGATCTCCCCTAACTTAATCCAGCAGTGCTTAGTTACCTGGGGGAGAAGAGTGCAAGTAATGAGAGATGATCATCCCCTGTGATCTGAGGAAATGCTTTTTTTCTGGAATCCTATTACTGCCCTCAACTGTTTCTTCTGGTAACTCCACTTCCATCCAGTCTATTTTCTCTTTATCAGGGCAAATGTTCTAGGGCAGAGTTCAGTGTCCTGTGGCTTTAGCCAGAGAGGTCACCGGCCACAGTTGGGCTCTGCTAAGGATCATGTGAGAAACTGTAGTCCTCTTCAGGACAAAGTCAGCTGGCCTAATTTAAGTCACATTCCCCTGCAATCAAAGCAAAGCCGGTTTCTTTGCACTGAAATGAATCACAACCTTTCAAATAGTTCTTTATTTGGCTCTGCTGTGGAAACAGTAAGCCTAGAAGAGAAGATTGTTGCTGGTACTTTCTGAACTGAAGAATTTGTTTCCTAACGAATCATATGATTAATTTTAGGGCAGCTTGAATCTGACCAGCGTCAATTTGTTTTCATTGGTTTGAGGAGGACTGATTATGGTGGGACCTGTCCATCTCATGATGCACAGAGCTTTCTTCCGTGCTGGCTGTGTGGGAAAGTGGTCTCTCCTCTGCTTGGCTGAGAGAGGCCCAGGTGAGGCACACGAACGCCCACTGCTTCTCCAAGGACACACCAAGAGCCTGTGGTAGATGTGGAAACAAAAGCCCTATCTCTGGTTCATTGCTTCAACCACACAAACATAATTTATCAATATAGATAGCTTCAGATGAAAGACACATCAAAGCATATTTTTGGCTGCTGCCTTCAGAGGTAGTACTAAATCTGCTGGGGAAATGCAAGCAGTGAGATATGATCCAAGTATCAAAATTCCTACCTTCTTACTGTCTCTCCTCTCTCACACTGGTTGGGTTCACAGGGAAGCCCTTTCTTGGTGTTGTAATGTCATCTATTCCCATCAGTAGATTTTGGTTCAGAAATACATTTTCATTCTTTTCCAACCAAACACTGCCTATTTCAACACTGAAGATCTGTAAACTGGCAAAGGATCCAAACAGGACAGTGGATGAGCAGTTACTATTTACGTTGGCCATCTTGTATAAGTGCTGATATTAGCATTTCTGAAAGGATTCATTCATCACTGAAAAAAGGTTTGTACCTGTGAATAAGAGCTTGCTTGGGAGGGCCTGTGTGCCTCCTTTCCTCTATCAACAAAGCTTACAAATGTCAAGAGATGGTTTTGCAAGGGATGTTAATGCATACCTATTATTTCAGAATGAGAATAAGCCCCTGAAAATATTCCGTGTCTTCTGATGGTGTAATGGAAGCAGCAGTAAATTTAAAGAAAAACCTTATTTATTTTCATGTGTCTTATTCATTTCTTTATTTATTTAGAGACATATATATATATATATATTGAAAGTGGCTCTCTTGGGCTTGTTTTTAAATTAAAATCTTGTGATACAGCCTCAAGCCCAGTGATTAGTTCTCATGTCATGGAAAATCAAGTAGACCTGCACTAGAAAGAACAATGGCTGTTGAAAACATTTAGCCCTTTCCAGAGTATGACCTCTTCTGGGGATGTCAGTGAAATAAATGTAATTTTATGATGTACTCTTAAGTCTTCCTTACCTCCTGCTGTTTGTCACGCTTGCTGACTTAATTTGCCTTAAATTAGTTGCCTTCATACCAAGGTACGTGATACTGTTTTACTTTAAAAAAGAGGTTTGTATGTTCTGCACTGGCCCAGCTGGCATGCCATGAGCCATGGCTCAGAGGTGGAACAGGTCCTCTACATGGCCAACAGCCAGCACTTGTTTCATCCTCATACTGCAGGTCAGGGATCTTTCAGCAACAGAGGACCCATAGCAACAGTGTTTGTGTGGGAGACAAAAATGTTCAGTCTCTGGGATGCCTACATTTTGACTAGGATTCCTCGAGGTTCTGTAGGATGAAGATCAAACTTTTTCAGGTACATTATTATGTTATAACCTCTAATATACTGGTTTTCTTTCAACCTTTTGACTGCTTCACTTTTAGGCTGAAAGCACCTGAGGGCTAGGGCTCTTCCTGGACACTCACACAGCTCCTGGCATGGTTAAGCTTCAATTCTGGGAAGAGACTTAGGCCATTGCCTCAATCCAAATGCACATTTAAAAAGAAACCCAAATGTCCGGAGGTTAACCTGCTTGCAAGTGCCCCTTTCATGCGAAAGATGATGCTTTGCGAGCACTGTGTTTATAAAGCAGAGGAAGAAAGCAAGCATGAATGAAACGAGAGTCCAGGGTCCAGCCCACTGCCTTCTGTGGGAAGTCCTCTCAAGAGGGGCATGAGTCTCTGAGACTTCCCTGGTGGAGTTTCTTCTCAACTCTTTAAATTGTTGGGCAGGGAAAGCTGGGCTGATGGCTGACAAGGAACCACGAGGGCCATTCCCTCACCCAAAGAGGTAACACACTCTGCCTCTCAGGGCTGTGATTTCAGCATGCAGCTCTGTTACATGGAGGGAGCAGAAAGAACGTTAGCAATCTCTAAAGGGGTGAGTAGGTGTGTAAAAGGGCAGTGGTGCACATACGGAATTTCACAGTAAGTGGTTGGAGAAGAGATGCATGCTCTGCACCAGGGAAACACTTTTCTGCAGAGAACCAGGATAATTTCCCTTCAATCCAGGGCAGATTGCCAGCAGTCTCAAATGTAATCCTCGTGGTATTACTTCCAAAGATAAAACAAGGGTATTATGGGTACCGCCACTGAGGCAAGTAATCTTTAAATATAGCTGCAAATTGCCTGGTTTAATGCTAACAAACTCTAATGGTGAGGAAGACAAGACAGGTAGCAGCACTGATACAGCATAATATAATGTGATGGCTGATATAAATGTGACTCATTCTAGCCAGAGGCTTTAGTATAGGAAGTTGGATATAAAGATATAAAAACAAATCTGAAGTTTTTTTCCTTCCCGGTGAAGGTCACCGCCAGGAATAGCATGGGAAATAATTAATGGAGGAAGAAATGTTCCCCTTCAAATTAGAAGTATTGTCTTGCTTCACAGTTTTGTTCTTCTCTTTGGGCTCCTGTAACAAACACCGGCAAACACGCAGGGCCTTTCTCCCTGAAGCCACTGACGGATATCCCATCCGGTGGGTAGTGAATGTGAGGAACTGGCTGTGCAGTGCTCACGGTGTCTGTTAATGGGGTCCACCCACCAGCAATGCACTGAATGGAGCTGGGAGACTGAATGGGGTTCTACGCAACGGCGGCCAATTTTCCTGGTCAACATGAAGGCGCAGTGCCAAGGCTGCGTGTGAGAGCTCATGCAGCCTGCTGGGGAGGGGATTTCTCCCCTTTCCCTCTGCTCCTGAGCCCTCGGGAGTTCAGTCTTCTTTCCAGCCCCAGCACAGGTCCCTCAGTCCCTGCGCTTCATGTGGGAGGACATAGATAATGCAGTGACCATTGCACTTCTGGTGGCATGAGCTGTTCTCTGCTCATCCTGCAGAGACCTGGGAGGCTCTGGGCTGCTCGTTTGCTCCTGTGACCAGTGCTGCACTTACACATGTGAAAGGGCAAGGGGAAGCCAGACAGCTGTGCCTGCGGTGCAGTCTGCATGCAACACTTCGGGGCAGGAGCAGTCCATGATGGAGCCCGTCTGCTGCAGAGGAATGTGATGCCGCAATTTAATTCCCTTTCCTCAGAGTGCTCTTAGAGTGGAGATGGGTGAGGAGAGGAGCGAGTGCCTCTGCTTCATGTCACCACTCTGCAATCTGGAAACCAGGCAGCCGTGGGGGATGCTGAGGGGCTGCTTCTCCCTGGGGCACTGGTTTGTTTTCTTCCAGGTGGCCTTAGCAGGGAGGACTGCTGGTTGGAAGTTCTGAGCTTCGCACTCCCGACTAAAATCTCCTGTGCATGACTCTGCCCCTTCTGCCATGAAGGACTGGTCATATTTTTCATTCTTGACTTCACGTGGCTGCTTTGAACATCCCAGGTTATCTGAGCCCAAACCAGTTGCCTTTCCTGCTGCTCAGCTCTTGACAGCTCACCAGGCCTTCATTGCTGCTGGGTGCCCACATGCCAGGGCCATTAAGGGAGTTAGCAGTGTTAAGATACATTCATTTTCAGAGAGCTTTTCTTTTGGGAGCCCAAGAGGTGAGGGCTCAGATCCTCCCTCCCTCAGCAGGCTCCTGACCCTGCAGTGGACTTTCAGAGGTAGAAGCACTGCAGAAGTCCTGAGTATCCCAGAGCTCCCATATAGCACAGGGAAAACCTATTACAGGAAAGCTGCTAATAGCAGAGGTAAGCACTTACCCGCATTTTCTAGTGGTGTTACAGACTCTGGAGAATCAGCGTGTTTTGGCCAGGTTCCCAAACTGCTTTTTAGCGTTTATCCAAAACAAGCCTGTGCGTTGAGGTTTCCTACCCTAAAATCATCTAACCAAATGAAAGGAATTACCTCAGTTGCACAGATGCTCCTCCATCTGGTCTTACAACTAGAGTGGGGCCAGGACACAACCCCAGCTCGACTCCCCTCTTCTTCCCCAGAAGGAGCCATATGAGGACATTGGAGCACAGTCCAGATCTGACTTTCACAGCTGACCCCTCTCTGTGTAGCAAGTAAAATAGTAATGCAGAAAGCTTTAAGGCAGTTCAGAAGTGTGGCTGTGCATAAATGTTGGGAATTTGGCTGGTTGTGCTCATGATGCTGCTCAGTCTGGAGTATTTGGGGAACAAAGATCAATCCCATAAGGATGATCTGTCACTTGCATGTCTTCATGTTGACTTGAAGTTTGGCCCTTTCATTCTGCTTGCTTTCTCACTTTCCAAGGCATGTGTGCTGCTCTTCTAGCCATCTCCTTATGGTCATGAGATTTGGGGTCACACATTCTTTCACCTGGGGTTTTCACAGCTGCTGCTCCTTGAAGTGGTTGCAAGGGATGCTGAGTGGGATGGAATGACCTGTTGCTCTCAGGTTTATTTCTTTATAGCATCTCTATCAAGAAAGACTGTAAGACATATGATTCAAATACTTCTAGATAACCATTGTCTAGTCAAATTCAAATGTTATGACTCCTTGTGAATGTGGGGTTTGTAATTTTTTTTTTTTTTTTTTTTTGGTGAATAAAGAAGTTACGTAATTCAAGCTTTTCCTTCTTCATTCTCCCTTTTGCACTTAAATTTACCATATGTGCAGATAGACTGTGCCTGTGTTCACAGTTGGCATGGTGCAGCGGAGGCAGATCTGTAGAGGTGGCTGGTTGGTGCTGAGGACTTGATATATCAGGGGATTAACGATAAAGACTGCCTCTGTTTTGTTTCCCAGGGACCAGACACTCATTAGGGGTTTGAGAGCAGTTGTGCTCCTGGAGTCCATCTCCTGGTTTCCTTTCACTCAAAGGGAATCCAGTTTAAAAAGTTGCTCCCTGACGTAAATTGAAACACAGTGAGACAAACAGGAGATTTGCCTCGTAAACTCACTCCTGATGCAAACAAAAACAGGCACATAGAAAGACCTGTCAAGAGACCAAGGTCAAGAGACCAAACCTAGAGACATTGCTTTACCCTGAGGTCCCACATGGTTTGAATGTGTGGCAAACAGGTCAGTTATTTGGCTAATGAAACAGCTGTTTAGCTTAGGTGAGCTGTCTCTTGTTCTTTCTTGGATATAGCTGCTAATCTATTGTTCCCTCCTTGTACACTTCCCCAACCTTCCCCTTTTCCAAACCCTCACTAAGCATATACATGTATATATACATATATTTATGTCTCTCTGTGTGTGTGTGTGTGTGTGTATGTGCGTAGGCAGTTGTGTCTGCTGCTGGGATTTCCTCCCAAACAATACCTGTTGTGCTGGCCACAGCGGTTCTCTTGGTTCCCATGCCCAGAGCAGTTTGAGTTTCCTGCTGGCTCAGCAGCAAGACTTTCAGGGCTTTTTATACTTATTCTTCTTCGTGAGCCAAGTGGAGGAGTGCAGTTTGCCTGTGAATAGTGAGCTGGCTGGGCAGGCGACAGGAAGCTTGCATACTAAAAACCGTGTGAACTTTGAGGAGGGGAGGAAGGGGGCTGGGGGCTGCTGGCTGGGCTTCGTCGTGTGTTTGCTGTAGCCTTCTCCCTTATAAACTCATCGTCTCAGCATAGGGATGCTCCCCACCAAAGGAATGAAAATATCTGTAAAAAGAGGGTGGAAAGAAGTGAGAGCTGAAAATGGAATTATAGAGGAAACACGGGGAGGGCTCAGAGAGCGGAGAAGAGTGAGGAGGCTTGGGTTTTAAGTATTTATGTGAAAACTTGTGCGTGGGTTCCCTGCACAGAGTGATGGCACAGCACCTCGTGCTGCACTGCTGGGCTCGCGGGCCTGCTTGCCCACCCCCTCACTGCCCTGGCAGTGGCTGCACCATCTTCTCTGAGTAGGGGCAGCTTTTCTCTATTGCCCAGGCAAAATCAAAAGCACAGAAATGAAAACACTCTTCTGTCTTCCCCCTGCCTTCCCCCCTCCTTTCTGTTGCTGTCAGCAAAAATTAATAAGTGGGTTCTTATTCACAAGGGCCAGGCATCATGGTGTGGCTATGAAAGAGGGGTTTGATGAGCAGCACATGAAACACAGGCGCCTGCTTGTCGGTAATAGGCAAAGCCACCCCTGGAGCAGGGAGAGGGGTGTTTCAGCAGGTGCTGTGGCTCCACTGCAGGTACAAGTGTGCTGGGGGCATCCTTGGAAAAAGGCAGGAGTTGAGAGGAAGGAAGGAAGGAAGAATGGACTGAGCTCATCTGCCCACAGACCAGCTACCTGCCTCCTGCTCATGTCTGCAGAAACAAGGAAGAGGCTGTGCTTTGAAAATGAGACAGCAGAGGATCGCATGTGCCACACAGATGCTTCCTGAGCAAGAATGGCCTGAATGGTGCCGGGGGGTGTTGGCAAGATGGCCCTGTTCAGGGAGGGCTGTCGCACTGGCTTGGCAGGTGCTGCCTGAGCGGTGGCAGAGAATG